AAATAAACAAAACAAAGCAAAACATCTGTAGCAAGGTTATAAAACTAGACATCTCAAAAATGAACCTCCCTGGAAGGCACAATGGCTGGCTGACCAAAAATTTCCAAGCAGCAGCTTAGGCCTGGTCACGCGCTTGCTTACCTACATACATAATATAATAGAGTGAGCGGAAGCCTAGTGAATAATAACAGAGTAAAGGGTTTAAATGAACGATGCCCTTAACAGATTCAGAAATCAGAATTCAAATCAAAAACAGATGTATATTTATATTCTTATTCAAACTTCCTACGGAAATCAGAATTCATGCTTAATCATCCATGGTACATCTATTAGCGTTATCTTACTTGTTAGTTCCATAAGGAACCTCCAGTACTAGGAACTTGTAATATACTTGAGCCACGGTATTGTTACCCCCGGGTAAGGGCCATGAGACCACAATATTATTACCCCCGGGCAAGAGCCTTGCTTGAAAAGGCACGGTATTGTTACCCCCGGACAAGGGCCTTGTGTTAAAGATGCGACGAATATATTTCAGAAATTTGGATAATCATTCATTCATACAAAACATCGCATTTCAGAAAACTAATCATTTCATAGCATTAGAAAATAGTTAAAGTTAAACATAACTTTACAGAGTTATTACTTACAGATGGCTCCACTTGCAGAACAGACAAATCAGATAACTTGTGGCGCATAACCTACACATACATAGCAGAAACACATAACGAAACACACACTCAGTTGATACTTAACTTCTTTCGTTTCATTCTTAGTGTGTTTATAAGTCTTAGCCTCTTATTGAGTCTTAAACATGGCCTAGGAATGCCTAGGATGCAATGTGAATGCCAAAATGCACTTTGGGACTCTTAACCAAACTTGCAGGGTCACGCTCGAACACAAATTCCCTCGCTTGAGCGAACATGCAAACATGTGAGGGGCCGCTCGAGCGCAGATTCCCTTGCTCGAGCGGTCTGCTAACTTTGAAAAAGTACTAGTTGTGTGATTTTCACGCTCGATGGTCGCTCAAGCGAGAGACTCAGGTCCTCGCTCGAGCGCAACCCTTGCTGCTCGAGCAGTCTGCAAAAACATGAAACTTCTGGGAGTTTGCATTTCATGCTTAAGCGGACTTTTGGTCGCTCGAGTGGGTATGCAAAAACAAAGGTGGCCGCTCGAGCACAGGATCTGTCGCTTAAGCAGAGAGGGTGAATTCTGGGATTTCCAAATTCACCTCCAAACTGTAAAACTCAAATTCAAAGTCTCAAAATGCAACTTTTGGCCCCCAAAACTTGAGAAAACACTAGTAAACTGATAAAACATGGTGAATTCAAAATCATGTTACAAAATTAAGTCCAAAAGCTTTGTCAATTATTCAAAACTCAAACTTGAAATTGTGAAAACATATCATTACATATCATGCATGTAAAGGTGCAAGAGCAAAGCTTTCAAAGCATGATCAAATGAGGTGTCTAACTCAAAAACATATTGAATTCTTTGATTAAGGCCAAAATGGGGACATTCAAAAGGGAATTCTTTGAAAACAACTTCAAATTGCGATGAAATGAGCATGCATGCATGATATGGTTCAATTCTCTTCAATTCTAACTCAATTCTTGTATCAACCTATTTAATTCTTTAGAGTTCATGTCCTACACATTACAATTGTACAATCTAATGTTGAATTCTCACATAAGCTTGTCAATGATGCTCTAGATGATCAATGGATGGAGGTTCCCAGCCACATTCTGAAGTTCTCTAGCAATCCTCTCAATTTGAGCTCAAACTTCTCTTCTCTCTCTCTCTCTCTCTCTCTCTCTCTCTCTCTCTCACGTTTTGGTGTTCAAGCAAGAGAAAATGGGAGTGCAAAAGTGTATAAAAGGTATTGAGGTGGCCTTATATAGGCTTGACTAAGAAATTCATTAATTTGGTTTTAATTGAGCATTAATTATTCTAATTTAATCGTTCCAAACCGAATTTTAATTAAACTACCTTAATGTTCTAAAAATTCCAACTAACACAAAAACCAAGTCAATTTCATGATCGAATGCCGATAGGGCCTTCAATTTAACAGAATAGAACAAAATTAGAGACAAATATTCCTACACAGAACAGATAGAAACTCATATAACACATAATACACGCAATGAATGCATAATTTCACTTTAATTACTTATTAAGCATTCTTAATCGTGGATTGCATGTTAATCAGAGATCGGGGTTGTTACAAAAGGTATTGATTTTGATGAAATCTTCTCGCTAGTTATGAAAATGACATCCATTCGAGTGGTTTTGGGACTAGTAGCTAGTTTGAATTTGGAACTTGAACAAATGGATATGAAGACGGCATTTCTCCATGGTGATCTGAAAGAAGAAATTTACATGGAGCAGCTATAAGGTTTTGAAGGCAAAGGGAAAGAAAACTTATTCTGCAGATTAAAGAAGAGTCTTTACGGCCTCAAACAAGCACCGAGACAGTGGTACAAGAAGTTTGACTCATTCATGGTAGGCTATGAGTACAAGAGAACTACTGCAGACCAGTGTGTTTATGTTAGGAAATTTCCCGATGAGAACTTCATTATACTCCTGCTCTATGTTGATGACATGTTAATTGTTGGACAAGATGCTACCGCAATTAAGTCACTGAAGAAGAAGTTATCACAGTCCTTTGACATGAAAGACCTAGGCCCTGCACAACAAATTTTGGGTATGAAAATTATGTGTGACAGGAAAACCAAGAAGTTATGGTTGTCACAAGAGATGTACGTTGAACGGGTGATTGAAAAGTTCAACATGAAAGATGCCAAGCCAGTCAGTACTCCGTTGTTTCTTCTACAAAAGAAAGAGAAGAGATGAAGGCTATGCTCTACTCATCCGCCGTAGAGAGTTTAATGTATGCAATGGTGTCCACCCGACCAGATATTGCTCATGTTGTTGGAGTAGTAAGCAGATTTCTTTCCAATGCACGGAAAGAGCATTGGGAAGCAGTCAAGTGGATTCTGAGGTACCTGAAAGGTACATCTAACATGTGTTTGTGCTTTAGAGATGCTATACCAGTCTTGGAAGGCTATATAGATTTAGATATGGAGGGAGATCTTGATGGTAGGAAATATACATCAGGATTTTTGTTCACTTTCGCAGGGGGAGTTGTGTCTTGATAGTCCAAGCTGTAGAAGTGTGTTGCTTTATCCACAAACGAGGCAGAGTATATTACTGCAGCAGAAGCTAGGAAAGAGATATTGTGGTTGAAACGGTTTCTCCAAGAACTGGGACTAAAACAAGAGAAGTACATGGTACATTGTGACAGCCATAGTGCCATAAACCTGAGCAAGAATTTTATATACCAATCTCGCACAAAGCACATATATGTTCGGTATCATTGGATACGCGAAATGATAGAAAAGTAGTTATTGGAACTGATCAAGATCCATACAGATAAGAATCCAGTTAACATGCTTACAAAGATGGTCTCGAGAGACAAACTCGAAATTTGCAGAGACATTACAGGGATGGACTTTAAGTGAGAAGTCAGTCATGCATGTGGGTATGGAGGGGGAGAATTGTTAGCTCTAACCACATGCATGCAAGCAGAGAGTCTAGGAGGATGGCGTACGAGGACTTCCACCACAAGTAAAAGTCTGAGGTGGGCATTTGCAAGCCCAGCTCTCATTTCTCTTCACGTTCTTGCCATTGTTGATTCTCACCATTAAGAAGGTAGAAATTTTGGTGGGTTTGTCTCCCCTCTCTCTCTCTCTCTTTCTCTCTCTCTCTCTCTCTCTCTTTCTCTCTTTTTGTGTATAAATAGAGACGAGAGGGAGAGGATGAATTGTATCAGAAAATTAAGAGAGAAATCTGTGAGTTGAGTGAAAGTTTTATCTCCTCCTCTATTTTTGTATATTGCTCAATTTTAGTGAAATTCTCTTTTCTGCTCCGTGGACATAAGCATTGGGCCGAACCACGTAAATATTTGTGTCTCTCTGTATGTGATTGTTTGTTGTTTAGTAATATGGGTGTCCATGATCCTAACAGTCAGACATTGGCAAAGACGCGATAGCGCTAGAGAAAGGTAAAAAAAAGATTGTAGTGTTTGTCTAGAGTGTGAGAGGGAGGCAGCGAGTGAAAATTTATGAAAAATGGTAGTTATTGAAAATGTTGAGATTTCTCTTAGATGAATTGAAGAGATAGTTTGGAAGTCGTGTTTCATGAGGATAAAATTGAGATTTTGACATTTAATCCTTGACATGAGTAAGATTTGTTAAGCAAATATAACTCTAATTTTTAAGTATGAATATGTAATTTTCAAAACTATACAGATCCTAATGTAACAACAACAAACATGGAGGGGGTGTCAATATAATTTGTCCAAACTTTTAACATACACATTATGCATACTAATACTTTCTGTTTTTGGATATTATTTACAACCAGGGGCTCTTTTGTCCATCTCATTTTCTTTCCTGCGCCATATTTCTTAAATTTTGCCCTTTTTTACTTTAAATGTTTTTTATTTAGATGTACACAAACAGATTTTTATCACTACAAACAAAGGTATAAGCTTTTATTTATTTGTTTTTTATAACTTTGTATTCGATTTATTGAGCTGACTAATTTGAGAGACCAATCATACTGTTTATTAACAAAAGGCCCAATTTAAAAAATATCTATGTCCACTAGTTCTGTGTCTAAATAATAATAAAAAAATATTAAAAATTGATTTATATATAATATTACTATTTATTTTCTTGGATTTTTCAAGGATAGTAGAGGTTTGACTCTTCCCTCTAATTTAAAAAGTAAAATATTAATATGGTTTTGCTGTCTTGGATAATTATGAAATGAAAATAATGTTAGTGGTGGGGAAAGAAGGTTAAATTGTAACCTCAATAGTCTCAACTAATAAATTTGAAGATATATATCCTAATTTGTACACATCCAATGGTTGTCTTAAAGACGCCCACCGTTCACTTTGGCCAATCCCAATTGTGTGGCCGTTAAGACCGAACAAACCAATCCATATGTTTTTGTACTCACTCACTCACTCACTCATAACTACTCAGACCACCAAACACTGAATCTTTCTCTACTCTCTCTTCTCTCTTCTCTCTCTCAGACAGCTTGTTGAGATTCATCTGATTAATCACAGCCTCTGGAATCCAGAAAGCAGGCCATCCATGGCTTCAACTGTCTCAACCGTTGGAGTTGTTAACCGAACACCGGTACTATCTTCTTCCCTCCATTTACACCAATCTAGATTAATCTTTTATGACTTTGATGCAATTAATTTAGTTCCATTACTCATCTAACATTCCAGTCTTCTCATGATTCATTATTGATTTGTGTTGGGGTAGTGTGCATTTTGATAATATCAGACACTAACTACTCGATCATAAGTTCTGTAAGTAAGGATATTTTTGATACAGCAATGTTAGTTACACTGAAAATTTATTTACTCAGAAAAAAACCCAAAAAAAGCAGAATTGTATGTGTGGATGTCTGAACTTGTGATCGGTTTTTAATTATGTATGTATATATATATATATGTAGTTGAGGGAGCAGAACCTTTTGTGATCATGATGGAACCACAGCGACCGTGCCAATAGTCCTAATTTTTGGATGAACTATGTAAATCTTGTACTTTTTTGTGTGCGCGTGTAATTTGTAATTATTATCTATTATTTTGCATGTCTCACCGATCCTAACAGATTGAATGAATACTGTCTGCTTTTCGTGAGATATGAATCCGTGCCAATTTATAAAACTGTCTCATATGAGTTATCTGGAAACATAGCCTGCTTATGCTTGTGTTTTCGTTTTCTTTTTTTTTGTTTCATTTATTAGAAAACACATACTTCTTCAGAAACTACACTTTTTTTTTTTTTTTTTTTTTTTTTTATTATGGATCTTCATTATTATTGTTTTTTTTTTTTTTAAATTTAATTCTTTGTCCGCTTTATGGAAATAATGAAGCTCCTGCCATGTGTCTGAACTTTGAACTGTGTGGTTTCTTTGTGTTTGATGCAGTTGTGCTTCAACAACTCCAGTTCTGGAGGTTCTGTCCCAAGCTCAGCATTTCTGGGTAGCAGTTTGAAGAAGGTGAACTCTAAATACACCCACTCAAAGACAGAGTCTAAGAACTTCAAAATTGTAGCTGAAATCGACGAGAAGAAGCAGACAGACAAGGACAAATGGAGAGGCCTTGCCTATGATATCTCTGACGACCAACAGGACATCACCAGAGGAAAGGGAATGGTTGATTCTCTCTTCCAAGCTCCACAGGGCGCCGGAACCCATGATCCTGTCATGAGTTCTTACGAATACATCAGTACCGGACTTCGCCAGTAAGAGCCAATGTTTGTGGTTGTGTTTATATGCATATTCATTTCTATTTCTAAAGAAAAAAATATATATATTAGATTTGATTATGGGATGGTAAACTGTGTTCCAGATACAACATGGACAACAACATGGATGGGTTCTATATTGCTCCGGCTTTCATGGACAAGCTTGTTGTTCACATTACTAAGAACTTCATGACTCTTCCCAATATCAAGGTAAATTAAACTAAACTTTGTTGACATCAAATGACTGTCTTATGACTTGAAAAGAACGAAGAATGAACAAATTCTTGTGCATTTATCAAAGGTCCCTCTCATTCTCGGCATCTGGGGAGGCAAAGGTCAGGGGAAATCTTTCCAGTGCGAGCTCGTCTTCGCCAAGATGGGTATCAGGTAAGTTCATAATTTAATTACTTTGTGCTATACTCTTAAGAAGCACGGATAGGACACATACACACCACAAATTTTCGAAAAAATAAAAAATGCGAGACATGATACACAATTTTCAATTCCTGTTTTATATGTAAAGCGAGATGTATTTTCTTGGTTATGTATTGATTTCATGGAAATGGAATTTCAGCCCCATCATGATGAGTGCTGGAGAGCTGGAAAGTGGGAATGCAGGAGAACCCGCAAAATTGATCAGGCAAAGGTACCGGGAAGCTTCAGATATCATCAGGAAAGGGAAAATGTGCTGCCTATTTATCAATGATCTGGATGCCGGAGCTGGTAGGATGGGTGGAACTACCCAATACACTGTCAACAACCAGATGGTGAATGCCACCCTTATGAACATTGCTGATAATCCCACAAATGTCCAGCTTCCTGGTATGTATAACAAGGAGGATAATGCCCGTGTTCCAATTATAGTCACAGGTAATGACTTCTCCACATTGTATGCTCCTCTCATTCGTGATGGTCGTATGGAGAAATTCTACTGGGCTCCAACTCGGGAGGATCGCATTGGTGTTTGTATTGGCATCTTCAAGAGTGACAATGTGCCCGATGAGGATGTTGTCAAGATTGTCGACACCTTCCCTGGTCAATCTATTGGTAATCATATTGAACTCACATCTCAGAAATAATTTTTAATGAAAATACATTAAATATCATGACAATGATATTGATGAAATTTTTTATAGCTAGATGCAAAAGCACAATTTTAGAGTGAAGAAGAAGCAAGTAGTTGTTGCCCTGACATTTGGAAAATAATTTGAGGTTTTGTGAATTATTTATCATCAATGGCATGAAAACCTCTTAATTGTCTGTAACATTTTCTAAAACAATGCAGAATTAGTTGCAATATTTAAAGCTGAGAAAAATTGAATGCAAATTTTGAAAGAAAATAAACCTCAAAACATGAGTTTGAAGTATTTTTCTTCTTTCTTTTTTTCCATTCCGCAGATTTCTTTGGTGCCATTAGAGCTCGAGTCTACGATGATGAAGTGAGGAAGTGGGTATCAGGTGTTGGAGTTGACACCATTGGAAAGAAGCTTGTGAACTCAAAAGAGGGGCCCCCAACTTTTGAGCAGCCAAAAATGACAGTTGAAAAGCTTCTCGAGTACGGTTACATGCTTGTCCAGGAACAAGAGAATGTGAAGAGAGTCCAATTGGCCGACCAGTACTTGAGTGAGGCAGCTCTTGGAGATGCAAATAAGGATGCTATCAACAGAGGAACTTTCTATGGTTAGAACCCTTGACCCTAGAGGTTTTAATTTTAGATTTGCCATTTTTTCTTATAAACTACAGAACATTGGGATCAGAGGATTTTTTCAAAGTTGTGTCTTTTCTATGCAGGCAAGGCAGCTCAACAAGTTCATATTCCTGTCCCCGAAGGTTGCACAGACCCGTATGCAACAAACTTTGATCCTACAGCTAGGAGTGATAATGGGAGCTGCCAGTATTGAACCTAGGCCTGCTCTATTCTTTATGTATTGGCTGTTTTGGGAAGACGATCTGCTTTTTGTAAATTATTTGAATTGGAGGCATAGCTACCTTTGTTTTCATGAATACTGTTGTGTAAGTTTTGTTGGAATATAAATTATATTTGCTCTTGATAGGTGTGTTGTGTTATTTTGATAGTATCTGAACTCCCTCCTCTCTTTTGTTTACTTACATTTGTTTTCGGTTTTCCTTGAAACAGTTATTTGTACACTTGATTGCTAAAAGTAAAATGAGAACTGTTATAAAAGGAATGCTAGGGAAAGGAATTTACACGAATCGAATAATTTACATTGTAAAAGAATCTGAAAACTTGTGTATTTTTTGTTTTGTCAGTAGAATCTTCTGAACATTTTTTATCTTGAAGTAGTTAAGAGTTTGCTATTTTTATTTTGGAATATGACCAGAGAATTAGATAGTTTAGATTCATTCCGTTCATAAAGTGGAAAAAAGGATGGGAATTACAATAAGTAACTGAAGTAATTGAGATTGAGAACCAAAGGAATAGAAAGATTCATCTTTGGTTTTGAAAGGGATCGTAGGACTTCTGAAATAAATTGATTATTTCGACAGAAAATTATTCAAATCAATTTGTGATTAAATTTTGAACTTTTCAGAAGCTGCAAAAACAGTTTATTGCTGATATACATTTCTATATAAGTAAGTTTACACCAGTTCATGCTGATCATTGAGTTGAATTTATTATCATCAATAGATAAAAGTAAGTACAACAAATCCACAAAACAGTTTCTTTATTTGCATGTGAAAGCTCTTCCACTTCAGTTGGCTTGGAGTTTTCTTCCACTGTTTTCTTCCTCAATAACTGTATATTGCAACAAACCATTGGTCATTATTTTCTCCCAATTGATATTCACAATTCGACAAATAAAAGATTTATATATAAGCAAAATTACCTTCTTGTGGATAGGTAGAAACAGGAATAGGTGCTGTTAAATTTGTAGGTCTAGTTATTGATTGGGACGACTCTTCATTATGCAGCAATGAAGTTACAGCCTCTCTCACCTTCTCCACCATATCGCCTTGAGTTTTCTTTGGATGAGAAAGTGCTCTCTCATCTTCCCCAGGCTCAAGCTTGTGGGTCCCGTATTCCTTCACAGAAACACCTTTATCCCATGTTTCGTTAGCACCAGCAGTCCCATGCTCTCTAATCTCATGAACTCTAACAAGTTTTGGAGTTCCACTGTCAGCACACTTTGTGGGGACTGTTCCAGCCGGTGCTGCAATAGTCAGGCCAGCAATCTTTGAAGCTATTGTGTGAGTTGCACCTGATACAGCAGCATATGCTGGTCCAATCGTCTCAAAAACTGCATCGGTTATTGTCTTGTCGGGACTAAGTGGCTGCTTCTCTAGTTCTTGCTCCATTTCATGTTTGACACTTCCCGATAAAACATGCTTCTCAGAAACCACAGGAATCGCTCTGGGGTGTTGTCGCGCTGTCTCTTTGTAGGATTCAGGTGCCAGCTCTGATTCATACACTGCAAGACAAAAGTTTGATTTGAACAGGAATCTTAGTCATGGAATTATAACCAATTTGGCATAGCTTATAGAATTACGTTTTACTTTTTTTTTTTTAAGTCTGTGTCAATCTATTTAGTGCAGCTTCTACTTACAAATTATGGGGGTAGAAATAACTTAAACAAACTAAAATAAGCTGATTATCTAAAGTTAAGAAAGTGGGAAATGGGTACTTTTAGCTTTTGTTTTCTGATTGTTTACTTTCATCTTAAGAAAAGTTGCACCAAATAGACCATATATATAAGGATTGCAACGATATTACTTGGGGCTCCAAGATATTCAGGATCTTCATCATCTTCATTTCCTTCTTCATCTTCATCATCGTCCCTGATAACACCCGATGATGGTGGCCTGCTATCCTCATGCTCATCATGCTTTTTCTTGTTGAGACTGCGCCGCATCTTCTGAGCCGTCTCCTTTACTTTGGACAGAACGGATTTCTTGTTATGGTCCACATAATATTCTTTGTGGCCATGCTCCTTCCCAAGTGTAGGTGAGGGATACCTCGAGGCATCACCTGGTATGAAAATGTTGTATTTTGTTGTTTATTCATGCATTTTTGTGCCAAAACAGGATCTAGAAAGGGCAAGATTATGCAGTGCTCGTCATTCATGCATTTTTATACTACCTTCGCGTTAATACTCATTTTATCACAGTAATGATATGGAATTATATATATACCTTGGACAAGTTGTTCAAAAGTCGGGGACGCACAAGCTCTAGGAGTTTGAGGAGACTCATCAGTGTCGATCCTTCGTACGGCATGCATTTGAGCCATTGCACTGCAAATTTACAAGAGCAGAGTTTTGAATTCCTGCCCTGTTAATCTCTATCCTTACCTATTGTGCGTGGTGTCTGTATTTGTACATGGAGGAAAATTTAAGAGCATCAATGATGTTTGTGCATTAGTTTCGGGGTTCTTGTGTGGACAATAGGTATTCTGTCTCTGTGTTAAATATGAATTTCTTTATCTTTGTATTTTTAAAAAAACAGAAAAAAGAGTTTGTGGGTTTCAGTTTTACATGTGGCGATAGACAAAGACGATGTATTGCTTGTGTCCACCTGGCTACCAATGGTTCCATTCTAAAATTAGGAGTTGACTGGACCTTGGAGCAACTAACTGTCATCCTCTTCCATAGCCTGTTGCTTTTAGGGTAGATTTTCCTTTGTGTCTGGGACTGCTTGCTTGTTACAAATGAGAATTTTTAGGCTAAACTTCCTCTCCAAAAAATAAAAAACTTGAACGAATTGGCTTTAAGTTGTGTTTGGATTTTGGATTTGTGAAGAGAGATCAAGATCCCACATAGAGGGGAGGTGAAATAGAGAAAGGAAAGGGGTAGTGGCCGACAGCTGCTGGAAGGGAGATAGAGAGGAGGGATCTGGTATGGTCAGGAGCATGGGTAGAGTGAGATGAGTGATTCTGATTCGATGGTAAAATTGATAGTGTGACTTGGTGATCCTGATCTCACTTTTAAAAATAGGGCAAATCTCTATCTATTGCACGAAGAGGATAAAATTATTTCCAGCTTCATCTTAAGATAGAAAGCATTATACATGATGAATTCTTCGATATAACTTCTTTTTTCAAGTCCACAACCAAGGTAAAATAGTAGATCAGATTCAGTATAAACAAAATGTGTTCACCGTACATAGAGTTCACTATGACATCAATGACTGCCAAAGCAAAAAAAAAATGTGGCATGTTATGCTATTTCTGATCAAGATTGAAGTTTGAAGTGCAATTTCAAATAGAAAACCCCTTTGAGCTGGCTTACCAACACAGATCAATACCAATTTTTAAAAGATTCATAAATCTGTGATGCTGTGTCTCATCAGGCTCACATCGAGTATCATCCCAACAAGCTAAATTGCAACATGTTCATCAACCAATGGACAGATTATTAAAAAAAGTGAAACTTTCCGTCATCACTTGCTTCATTTCGAGTTATGAAACCAGAAAAAGAGCATCCCAACAAGCTAAATTGCAACAAGTTCATCAACCAATGGACAGATTATTAAAAAAAGTGAAACTTGCCATCATCGCTTGCTTCATTTCGAGTTATGAAACCAGAAAATGAGAAACAGGGTAGAAGTTTCAAATTGAAAGTCCTGTATACTGCAATTTTTATCAGAAGAAATAATTTGGAGAATCATAACATGATCTTCAGTCTTCGGAAATCCCAGCCTGCCTTGTGATATTCACTGAGGACAGAATGAACAGTTCTTCAAAAATTGTTTGGAGGAGAAGTGGGTAATTGCCTGACTAGTTTAGACTTCACACAACAGAAGCAGGACAAAATCCAGAAGTTTCAATTGGCAATTAATTAGATGAACCCTTTGCATTAACCAATAAGCATTTTGTTTCTTGTGCTCCATCGATAATGCAAGCACCATGTAGAAGAAGCTTGGCTGCGTCTGCAGGATCCCAAAGATAGGACTTGAAAAAGGAAACCACAACTTAATAATTGAATCTGACCTTGATGCCTCACTTCATGCCAAACCATTATGCATTGGACAAAAGAAAAATGACTGGAAATGTGTGTTTGATAAAGAAGCCAAAACAAAGGATCAATTTCGACTTCATCAACTCAAATCCAGCTAGAACCAGGCTTCTTTCTCACTCCCTTATCACACATAAGCTTCCGTACCTCAGCTGCATTATCCCAATAACCCTCATTAGCCAAGACACTTGCTAGCAGTACATAAGTTGCAGGATCACTAGGGCAAAGCTCCACAAGCTTTCTCGCAGAACGCACAGCGATTTCTGTATTTCCATGAACTTTACAGGCACTTAGAAGAGCTTTGAAAACTGAGGGTCCTGGCTCTATTGGCATGCTATTGATAAATGCTTCTGCTTCATGGAGATACCCAGCTCGACCATATAGATCCACAATACAAGCATAGTGCTCTAGTTTAAGTGGTTGAAGGGACTCATCACTTTTCATCAAATCAAAATACTCAAGTCCCTTGTCCAGCAACCCAACATGACTACAAGCTGAAAGCACAGCCAGGAATGTGGTCAGATCAGGTTTAACCCCAGTTTTACTCATTTGTTCAAACATTTGAACAGCTTCCCTGCCATACCCATGATGAGCAAATCCAGAAAGCAGCGAATTCCATGAAATCAAATCATATTGCTTCATTGATAAAAATGCCTTTTTTGCATTATCAATCTTACCACATCTTGCATACATGGAGACAATTGCATTCTGCACACACACATTCGAAGCATATCTAGTCTTGATAACAAGACAATGAACTTGTTTCCCCACTTCAAGAGCTGAAATAATTCCAGTTGCTCTCAAAATGCTTGTAAATGTGAAGAAGTCAACAATAATGCCTGCCTGCCTCATTTTAGAAAAGCATATGAGGGCATCACGACCGTCTCCTAAATTAGAGAAACCAGAAATTACTGCATTCCATGAAACTTGATCCCATATTGTAATCGTCGAGCAAATCCTGTAGAAGTCCTCTAAGCTACGGCTGCATTCCGAATATACAGTTACTAATGTTACTGTTAAGTACATATCAGACTCTAGGCCTTCCCGAATTATGCAACAGTGAACTTGTTTGCAATGATCCAAATCATCTGGACAATGAAATGAACTCAACAAAATATTATAAGTCACGTAACTTGACTTAACACCCAAACGCAACATTTCCCTAACTAAAATCATTGCCTCATCAGGTTGTCGATTCTGAGCATATCCGGTAACTAATGAAGTCCAGGTAACAACATTTTTGTCCGGCATTTCATTGAAAACTCTCCTCGAAGCATCAATAGTCAAACACTTAGAATACATATCAATTAAACCCGTACACACAACAGCATTAAAGCAGAACCCAGATTTCAAACAAAAACAATGCATCTGAACACCCAATTCTCCATCTTCTAATTGCACACAACCAACCAGAGCAGTCGAAATGCTAATTGGCGTCGGAAACATCTTCCCTTTGAACATCTCTAGAAACAATTCAATGGCCATTTCAGGGTATTGGGTATGCAAATAAGCAGACATCAATGAATTCCAAGTGACTACATTTCTGTGACACATTTCATCGAACAGTTGTTGAGCGCATGAGATAAAACCACATTTACCGTACATATCAACAAGAGCACTGTTGATATATACATTTGAATTGAAACCCATCTTGATAACTATGGAATGAGCTTGAATACCCATGTAAAACAAAGACGACTTGGCGCAAAAGGATATAAGTTTGTTGAGAATGTAAGGAGTGTGTACAGACCCATGTTGCTGTAACTGAGCCAAGAGGTTCGGATCAACAGGATTCGGGATGTCCTCGCCGTAGCACGAAATTTGACCGTTGGAGGAAAAGAAATCGTCTTGGTGGAAGTGGGTCGTTAAAGCGCGGGAAAATTTATGGTTGGTAGTTTTTGATGCGTTTTCTAAGGTGCACCGTAGGTGAAAAGTAGGGAATCTAAATCTCATCTTCTCACCATCTCTCCCTTACCAAAGGTAAGTTTTTTTTTTTTTTTTTTTGAAGCTTTTAAATATGCCCTAATTTTTATTTGGGTAATTTATATTGTTAGTTCTTATACTCTGCTCTTGTATCATTTTAGTCCTTATAATTTCAACTCAATTAATTTTGTTCCTAAATTTTTATTTTGTCTCAAATTGATCAAATTGTTTTTAATTGTTAATATTTTTTATGATAAATATGCACATAAGCGGTATATATCATAATTTTAAGAGCAAAATTATTAACTTGGTCAATTTAATAACTTAACCTCAACCAATTCAATAAATTTTTTTGTCAAAAACCCTACTCTATACACTAATCGTTGAATTGGAAATTTTTTATGTCTCAAATATGCTAGAACATGATTTGAATGCGTTAATAAGAATCAGGATTGTTTGTTGAGTGTATGTAATATCGGTTAAAATAGAATCATGTATATATGTTCAGAGACTATTACTTATTAGTAAACCAATCAATTTCTCAAATGAAGAGTAGGGAAGATTGCAGAAATCTTTTTAATGCATTACTACTCCAAGCTAGGTTATTTGCTATACTTTTTTCACTTAGGTGTTCACTGTTCAATCAGTGAAAAGTTCAAACCTCAACAATGAATGCACAATCCTTGAGTTTTTTTTTTTAATATTCTGGAAATAAAAAAAAATTTAGAGAATTGACCCACTTTTCAAATTATTTGAGAAACTAACTTGTTTTTTGAAATCGCATTATGAAAATGCGATTTTGAAATTGAAATTGCATTTCCGACATACAATTTCACCTTGAAATCACAGGTTGAAAATACAATTTATGATGACATGGTGAAATTGCATGTTCAACATGCGATTTCAATTGAAATGGCACACTACAGGAAAACATAGCAAAAAACACGGAGTTTTTAGCGACGCCGCGCCCCCCGTCGCAAAAAACGGTTTTTTGCGACGGTAACTTCACCTGTCGCAAATAATAGCCTTTAGCGACGGCACTTACCCGTCGGTAATGAAACTAAGCGGAGGGGTCGGAAATGCGGAAGTATTAGCGACGGTAAATAAAACCGTCGCAAAAAACCTTTTTTTTTGAGACGGCATATATCATTTGCGACGGAAATTTGCCGTCGCAAAAAAGGATTAATTCAAACGGCGCCGTTTTGCCTTCTATTTGCGACGGTCTACATCATACCGTCGCAAAA